ATAGACAGGCACCATGTTAGACAATGGCTTTAATATACTTATTGCTGATAATGCTGTTCTTAATGATTGTAGGCCAGAATCTATGCCATGGTTGTACTATTCAGAATCAGCAGATGAGGTTTTAGAAGATACAAGGATTTCCACAGTTTTTACTCTGAGTCCTGATAACGAGGTATGCAAGACAGTGTTTGGTTAGGCCTTAAATATACTGGTGGCTTTACATAAATATGCATATTACATAAGTTTTTTGTTAGTTGCATACAAAATGAATTGTTTCAAGGAACAATATTCCATATATTTGTTTTCTATCTGTATATCGAATGTTTTGTACTGTATTTGCTCTATTAATAATGCATGCATTTATGTTAATTAGTACACAGCCAATGCTATTTTGCGGTTAAATGCGCGTCCATTGAAGATGTACTTCTAATAGAGCAAATACAGTATTTATTCTTGATTTTTGTTTTGAAGGATGCAAATACAAAACTAATGTATTATACTCAGCCATAATATTGGAATGGAAAAATAGATACAATTAAAATTTGCACGTGATCCCATACTCTTTAAAAGCAGAATTACGTTTTGTGTATGAAAAGAATAGAATCAGTCGGGTGGTGGTGTTAAATGCTATGTTGTGTGATTAGTATCCAGGGAACATAGATGTAGTTATGATTGTCTTCTGCAGTGTCTAATTATAAAGCATTGGTTGTCGGAGTAGTATATGCTATAAATTTAAATTGTTAACTGCATGCTGATGATTGAAACATTGAAAACCTGTTAATATCAGGATTGAAAATTTGTATACATGTATATTCCATACTGTATACATTTGTGTCTAATTAATAAGCCATCTGTGAGTGCATTGATACTAAATTATGAGTCACAGCTGCCATGGCATACATAGATTGAAAATATTTAATTTGGTAATGAATCATCCTGTATTTCTGTATGTATGCGCATTTTAAATATTGTATTCACAATTTCAATAAACAAATAAATAAACTTTATGTTTGATTTTATTATTGAAAAATGCACAATTTATTAAGGCTTCCCTAACATTAAGGTAGCAATAGGGGTAAAACATGTTAAGATTTGATCTGTGATCATTTTTGACTATTCCAACTATTGTTTAACACTTTAAGTTGCACAGGATGTTTGTAATGCTGTAGGCGACATGATATTGTCTCTTTCGGACGGTAGTCTAAAACAAGAACTTGTAATTTGGATTCCATGTTTGTGCGTATTCTGGAAAGAATTTAAATAGATTTTATTCAAAGTTGGCATAAACATGTCAATTTATGTTATGTTAAGATATGCTTTGATAGATTTTGTTCGAAAAATTATGTCATGGTGGTATACATACATTGTGTATGCCTGTCGTGTTATTTTATGATTCAATAAAATTTGACTAATTGATAGCCATTTTAGACTAAAAAATGTATGGTTTATATTTAAAGGTGGGACTATAATTACATGTAACTAATACAAAATCTACATGTTGTTAGATTAATGTTAGTTGACAATGAAGATCAATGGAAACTGTGTCATTTTCAGTGACAACAACTAGACATGATTCCAACAATTGATTAAAGGTAGCATGTCTAGTTAATTGGTCGTAGCTGGAAAACTAAAGCAGATAAAAAAACAAGACATGATCGTACAGCCAACAGTGTTAAAAATGTCATTCGTATAACTGGAAGTGTTAAAAAGATAATTTTGTTTTCAATGGAACAGTCCAAAAAGAACAATAGCAAAATCGGTATAGCCTATGCACTATCATATTCGCTTATATTTAAATCTTTCTGACGATGTATAGGTTGTTATAGTACCATGTTTCGTAAGTTTTGGTGAATATCTAAATCACAGATCAATTTTTTACTGTTACCCCAGTTGCTACCTAAAATTAATTCATCTACTGTTAACAACTCACTCACAGCTTACTGGGAATGTGTTGCATTTCTTGCTGGGACTGAGTAAAATTAAGTATCAATGTTTGCATTGATAGAGCCTCAGAAGGGAGCAACTCCCACTTGCAACATAGGAAATGTCATTTGTAATGTCGTAGTAGTTGTTAGTAATAGGGGTGTCTTATTACCAGAGAATGATAAAATAAAATTGACATAGTAAGTAAACAGAGCATGACCATAGTGGATGAATACTCTAAAAATGATGGAACATGCTCTAACCCATTTTGTACGATGTGCTTTACCAAAAGATGAACAAACCACCAGGCAACGCATCTGAGGTAATATGTGTGTAATGAGTATGTGTGTACACTTACCTAGCCTGGTAGTACATGTGTCTCAATGTACGGTAGGAATCTCTGACTGAATGTATACACTTACCTAGCCTGGTAGTACATGTGTCTCAATGTACACTAGGAATCTCTGTCTGAATGTATGCACTTACCAAGCCTGGTAGTACATGTGTCTCAATGTACACTAGGAATCTCTGACTGAATGTATGCACTTACCTAGCCTGGTAGTACATGTGTTTCAATGTAAACTAGGAATCCCTGACTGAATGTATACACTTACCTAGCCTTGTAGTACATGTGTCTCCATGTACACTAGAAATCTGACTGAATGTATGCACTTACCTAGTCTGGTAGAACAAATGTCTTGATGTACAGTATGACTCTCTGAATGCATGAATGGTTTGATAGTCCACTATGTTTGTGAGATGACAAGTTGACAATTTCTTGTGTGTTCTAATGTATATAAACTTTTAGTTAAAATTTATTAGTTCTCAAACCAAGGAGAATATATAATCTACTTTGTTTTACAAGTTTTGACTCAAACTTTTGAGTTGACATTTTAACTTATTGTAAGTGCTATAACCAGGAATGATTTCTAAACCATTCAGTGTGAATTTGGCTATCTGATAACACAGTATATAGGTGTCTGATATGATGGAATAGATTTGATTTGCTTTCTTTCATCTGGTATCACATTAGGATAAAATAAATGTACCCTATAATTATATTTTGCAACATTGATGTTATTTCTTGTGGTACATTTATTTGTTTTCTTTACAGAATACCTATCTTAAATTTGTAGTTGGTAAATACACTATCAATGGTGATTTTGTTGGTTATGAAGATATCACTGGTAGCACTCTTCAGGTATTGTTTTTCTGTTATGTCTGTGTGATTATGAAAGTTACCATTTACTATTATCAAATAAAAGTCATACATAGAGAAATGATGACAATTCACTTCAATTTCGTTTTCTGTTATATTACTTATATGAGTTGCAGTTAACTATGTTAGAATACATGAAAATCAATGTAAATATTTCCATTTATTGTTTTCAGTTATGCCCAGATACTAAAACTAATTTAGATGCAGCCTTCTTGTTTGGGACCACCTACTCATTATCTGTAAGTAGTGCTTGTAGTTTTCTAGTTTCTATTTTACAACTTGTTGAAATTATCAAACGGTACTCTTGTGAAAACTTTTTAATAAGATTTTTACATTTTTTTATTTTTAGTGTAGTATCCCTGCACAGCAGTTCTGGGATTGGCCACAGTATGAAAACTACATGTATGACATGTGTATCCTTTAAGCAACTCTTTGTTATTATCTTCTTTTTTTGTTTTGATTTTGTGAGCTTGCTTAAGAGATCGATGAACAGAATGAAAAATGGTTTATAAATGTTTAAAAATCAATTCCTTGAAAACAACTTGCTCAATTGATTTGACATTAAAGTGTCAAAAAAACTCTTCAAAATTCACTATGATTGGTCATGTGGTTTGGTGACCATCATTGATTTAAGAAAACACAGATGTACTCTATTTCTAATGCTTGTGGGAAGTTAATCTTGGGTACATGTACTTGTTGGTTTAATGGAATTGTGTTGATTGGTCATTTTAGTTGATTTACTGTATTTATCTACATTACCTAGATCAATATAACATCGGTATATTTATACAACACTCAGTAAATTATATCAACCTAAGCATCTTTTAGTGACCACATGGACTGATTTGAGATTAACGTGTTCTAATGATTATGATGCATAATCTGTGAATAAACATCAGTGATTACACAAATTCAGTTTTAATGTGCAGTTCTAATGTGCTAAATGTGAACTTGACTTTCACAATTGCTGGCAAAGGAGAGAATTTTGATATTTTGCTATGTGTACATCTTTAACCACACATCAGACATCGAATTTGAGGAAAATGGTGTCAAATACTTGCACGCCATACCATTATTATTGGAGAATTATAAAGATGGAGATTCAAGGGTTAATTCAGGTAAGATATGCTATGCCTCACAACATCCATCTCCATAACTGACTAAGTAGTTGAAGAACAAACCCATTATTGTATTATTTCTATAATTGATATTTCTGTCATATTCATAATGGTACCCGGTAATGGATGCTCTGTCGGCTGGAAGGAGTGTAGGTCTAAAAACACACATGATTGGCTGTCTATGGTTATTAAAACACATTACCATGCTACCGAGTACTAACACAAATCTTCATGCAATATTGTCTTATTTTGCTCTGTCTAGGGGATGACACCAGTACATGGGTATTGACTCGCAGATTTTTCATGGTTGATAATCTGAGTGGTAAGATTACTGCAGATACGTTGGCTGAAGTTGTACGCTACGCTAGTCTATTTAAATTCGAGTAAGTATTTCAAAAAGCTTTTTTTTTTACGCTGTTGTTTAGTTCTCACACTTTAATGCATTGCCATTCGCAAGGCATTACATGATAATCTACCACAGTTGATAACACACTTAGTTTAGTTGCATTGCTGTACATAGTAATTTTGGTAACATAAATTGCATGATTCTCACCATTTCATCCTTATTTTAGAATTGAAATTCAAGGTCAGAATGGGAAAATCTATACCCCGCTGTTGAGAATCAGGTACACTGAAATCAACAGAGAAAACTCGTATGAATCAAATGCATTACAAGGTGTAAGTACCACACGTTGAATTCATCACTATAAAATGACTATCATTATTTATCTCTACTGCACTTCACCAGGAAATTGGGGAAAATAAGGGGCGGGCTGATATCAAGAGAAGGGATTAGGATAATTGTACCATATTCTTAAAAAACTCTGGTACAGTAAGAGATGTTATATTACAATATATGGTAAAGTGACAAGAGCTGTAACTATCGATCTTTCTTCTTCAATTTTTTATTTTTTTTTTATTTTTAATAAAACACTTCCTGTGTCATTAGTGCCAATTTGTAACAGCCATTGCCAAAATATGAACACTGAAAGTATTGCATATACTGGTACGCTATATCCTGAAGTTGTACATTAAATCACTTGCAAGGAAAAAAAGGATGGCCGCAGGGTTGCGTCAAGGTTTCCAGAGGGCGACGTCTATTGGAATCAAGTTTTGTCAAGTGAACTGGGTGATATGTCAAATAGGTTGTCATCTTGAAAGCTTTAGCCTTTGTCAAAAGGTCTCTCATGAATGATAATTTATGTGTCATTTCCCATGATGGTGTGTATCATGTGTCATAATTTTCCACGGCCTCAATCACTTGACCGATTTCAATGAAATGGCGACTATTCGACCCTTAGTTTTTATGTGTGATTTTATTTGACACTAGCTTTGTGTAGGGTTATTTTGTCCATGCAATCGTGTATAAAATAATAATTTGGATACGATTGGAACATCTTTATGTGGTTATATTTCGACAAAAAATATTCAGTATCACAGTTATTTAAATCTGAAAGACAATTTAGACTACACAAGAGCTGTCTCAATGTTAAGATCTCTGCCAAGTATAATCATCTGCTAATGTCATACCGAATTTGTTCTGTTAAAAGTGCATTGCCAATAGAAGTGCATGTAAACTAAAAATCACATTTGCTGTACAGTGAATCATTACAATAACACATATTTTAACTGTAGAAACAACTCTGGAATTCACATAAGTGCATGTGCTTTTAATAGAGTAAATATGGTATATAGAACATTATAATTTTGAGTGTGGATGTGTTTTATGTGTGTTTATTGTTTTTATTTTTTGTCACACTGTGACATCATTGTTTACATTTTTGCCAAACAGCATCAGCATTTCCGACTCAAAATTCATGCACAGTCAACACATGATCTACATTGTGTTGTTACACATACAAATGTATATTAAATAACAGAATCTGTGGACACCATTATTCTTTTATCTTTGGGTTCAAATTAAGAAGTACATCAGCTTATAGGATATAGTGTTTAGCAAGTGTCATCTCCTCCTCCGAATGTATGTCTCCCCAACATTGGATCTTGTATGGAGACCAAAATAAACATCCTTGTATACAAATATTAGTGTAATGAGCAAGAAGTTGTTCATTTATATTGTCAACATAGGCTTCAAACAATTACAAAAGACATCAGTAATGGCAAGTAAACTTTATTTTATGTTACTTACTTTTAACAGGTATCGTTTGAAGTGGAATACAGCATGGACTTATCTTCCTATAATGAAGATGTTTCCATCGCTATGGGTGTATTAAGTGTATTAGCTGTAATATGGGCAGCTGTTAGGACAAATGCATGGAGGAGACGAGCTGGCATGATTACTATTGATATCATTGTAAGTTAATTCTATTAATACTAATGAAATGGCAAGCCCGCTCATCCCTTGTCACATGCATTCATTCTAATCTTTAATATATTGGTACTACCATAAATACACTGTCATTGTCTTTTTTCACAGCTCAGTAAAACATTGAAATCCACATGTCATCAGTAGCAATTTGTGATACATAAATCAATACACTGATTAATATGCAAAGAGAAAACTAAATACAAAATGTGTGTACAGATTTCTAGATAGAAAATATAATGGTCTCAAAAGAGTTAAAACCAATAACTAAAGGCAACATATTTTCGCAGGGATAATTGTGAGTTTAGTAAACCCACTGGTTAAGCATGTAAGCACAATGGTCACGCTATACATTAATTATTTCTCAATGAATTTCCTATAACTGTTTTGTTATGTCTTGTCTTCTACAGAGTATGTTCAAGTATTTCTTTTTCTTATGCGGTACCTTGGCTGATGTCTTCTTTATTGTGATGTTTGGATGTGGTCTTTACTGGCTCATTTTCTTCAGGGTTAGTTGCATCATATTTTACTAAAATAAATCTACTAATAAAGCAACCATTGTCTGGATACAGCAGGTTGCTGATTAAAACAGTTACTGTCCTCACATGTTTAAATTGTTTGCAATAGAAACTAACTAATATTACGGTATGTTCTTTTATAGGAGCAGTCTGGCGTTTATTTAGTCTTGCCAAATTCTGATGAGGAGAGTAGTTTCATAGCTTACATATCAGTTGCATATGTATTGAAGGTAAGCTTTGTATCCAGTTTTACTTCTTTCTCCTCTCTTCTTTCACCCTACTTTCCCCTACCTCTTCCTCTTCTCTCTCTTCCTCCTCCTTCTCTGCTTTCACCCTCGTTTCCCTTCTCCCTCTTGCTCTCTCTTTTCTCCTTCTACTACCTTTTTTAGCTCCGCTGTCGACTTTGTCGAGCGGAGCTTATCATATGAGTGATTGTCCGTCGTCACCGTCCGTCGTCGTCGGTGTCAATGTTTTACTTTTTCGACTTCTTCTTGAAAACTACAAGCCTGAATGCTTTGATACTTGGTGTATATGTACCTTGGGTAGACCTCTCTTCTATCTTTAATTCTCTAATTTTGGTGAATATTTTTGTCATTTTTGGTAAAAAGTGATATTTTCGATTTCTTGTTAAAAACCAATAATTCAATTGCTTTGATATTACATATATGGATACTACATGTAGACCTTTCTCAGATTTGTTCATTTTGTGATGATATCTTCAATTCTCTAATTTTGGTGAATATTTTTGTCATTTTTGGTAAAAAGTGATATTTTTGATTTCTTGTTAAAAACCGCAAGTCCAATTGCTTTGATACTACATATATAGGTACTACATGTGGACCTCTCTCAGATTTGTTCATTTCATGATGATATCTTTAATTCTCTAATTTTGATGAATATTTTAGTAATTTTTGGTAAAAAGTGATATTTACGACTTCTTGTTGAAAACCGCAAGTCCAATTACTTTGATATATTATACATATAGGTACTACATGTGGACCTCTCTCAGATTTGTTCATTTACTAATGATATCTTCTGTTCTTTAATTGCCATGTGCATTGCTAACAGCGGAGCTATCTCAGCCAACAGGCTGCTTGTTAAAAACCAAAAGTTCAATTGCTTTGATATTACATATATAGATACTACATGTAGACCTTTCTCAGATTTGTTCATTTCGTGATGATATCTTCAATTCTCTAATTTTGGTGAATATTTTTGTCATTTTTGGTAGAAAGCTATCTCGGAGCTATCTCAGCCGATTGCTTTGATACTATACATATTGTTCATTTTCTAATGATGTCTTCAGTTCTTTAATTGAAATGTGCATTGCTAGCAGCGGAGCTATCTCAGCCGAGAGGCTGCTTATTCATCTTCTTCACCGCTATCCCTCATTTCTCGTCCTTCTCTCTTCCACCTCTTTTCACCACTCTCCCTTCTTTTCTCTTTTTTCTTCCCCTTCTCTATTGTCAGACCCATGAATGCCTTTACTTGTTGTCAGCCTCAGTTCTTATTATTTTGTTTTCAGTTCTTTGATTTGGTTCATCTGATTGGCAGTCAGTGCTTGGTTGATATCTTCTTTATTGATTGGGAGAGACCTAAAGGTCGTATTGTCCAATCCAATGAACCTGGTGCGGAGAATAAAGGTCAAATAGCACCTGTCAGTGCTTGGAGAATGTTTTTTGTCGCCAATGAATTTAATGAGATACAGGTAATTTTAATCTATATATATTTTGTAGTATCTATAATATGATCTGATATGATGTGATAATATAGAGGACAAGTAAAATAGCCATTCAGACTGCTGAATAGTAGCTCACTTGCGTTAACAAACTTTAGTAAATATATAGGTAACATACATTTCAGACAGTTGAGTTTAAAATTTAATGTCAAGTCCTGATACATATATATCATCAGTAGAATGCATTACATTAGTCTAATTATTTAATGTTTATTTTTTTCAGACCACTAGGAAAATCAATGTTATTTTCCAGTTGTTCATGGTTATATTATTTCTAGATGTAAGTATTGCTAGTGACATGTGTCCTGTATTAGTCATAATATGCTTAACTATCACATGGCAGTATTTTAATGTGCAAGCAACAGTGTTAAAGTGGGAGTCAAATGCAATATAAAACATTCTCAGTTGTTTCAAATTTTCTTATATGTCAGATTTCTAGGCTACTGTTTTGAGGATTATTTCCTTACAAGCTAATACAACATAACTATCAAGTATGGTTGACATGTATTGTATTCAGTTGCATTAGCACCATTGACCTCAAATTATTTTTAAGCAGTGGATGGCTTAGCGCTTAGACAATGTTGTAATGTCAGTTTTTGATATATAAAAACATACAATCCTTTTACTATGCTAAACTACAGGTTATTGGCTTTGAAGACTTAGCTTCAACTAATCCTCGTGCTTATGTCAATACTGATGAAGAATATTACACTGGTGATGATAGCCGTATTCTTAGATTTGCTGTGTCTTCCATTGTGTATTTAACTATTGCACTTTGTCAGGTTAGTATGTGAACAAAACAACCCGATGTGTCATTTTTAAGGTCATACCATTGTTTTGTCTGGATCCAGACCTCTTTTTTTTTCCAAATCTGAAATCATTTGGACAATCTATGAATGAAATTGTTTGCAATCACCCAAAATAGACACTTGTGTTTTAAAATTCAGTTTATTGTCATCAATATGTAATTCTCTTTCAGTGGGTGTTTTTCACGTTTATATATGAGAGATTTGTTGAAGATTATCTGAAGAACTTTGTAGATTTGTGTTCCATGGGGAATGTATGTATATCATTTTGCAATTACCCGATAGTTGTTACCGTACATTGTGTGCTGTCTCTCCTTTTGTATCACTGAAATAAATCTAGTTTAATGCATATTTGTTTTTATCTTGATTTTTACTATTTATAACAAATGAAGGTAATAACAATTATGACCACAACAGATTAAATATATGTCATATGGTATGTGTACATTTAACAGGCTCTAAATCTTATTATGAAGACTGAGTTGCAGAAATCATTGCATGTCATTAATTGTGTTATTTGCATGAATTCACCAGGTGAGCATCTTCATCCATCTGAATAGATGTTATGGGTTTTACATCCATGGTAGATCACCACATGGTAAAGCTGATACGAATATGAAAGAAATGCAAGCACAGCTCAAGAGAGAAGAGGTGAGGTCTTGTAGCGTGTTTTCTTGAGGGGGGGGGGGTCTTGTAATTCAAACACATTTACTGAACTGCTTAGTCAGTTAGAATTGTGGTTAATAAATCACTTTCATACCTTTAAAGGTCACACATCCTTGTACTTTCATTATTATAAAAATCAAAAATGAATTTTACGGTATTTTATTAATATTTCAGCACAATTTTTTAGAGTAAACTGTTTGTTTAGCTACTTGAATATTAGTACCTTAACAACATAATACTTTCTGTTTAAATAGTAAAAAAAATTTAAATGCCCCAATTTTGCATGTTGTTATAGCAACAACAGTACCAGTATGTGTGACCTTTAGAAAATCATGAAAGTGGCCTATTGTGATATCATTGCTTTTTCTGTGTCATACATGTTGCATGATGCCAGCACACCCCAGTGGAAGCCTCATGCTCTTCATGGGAGCTGACCTGACAGAAAAGAACCACTATTATTCATGGGAATCTGCTACTATCAGTATTTTTCTTTATTGGTGCACTTCTGTGTAATTATGAATACTTGTAATTATCATTTGTTGGTTTTCTTTTTTATATCAGGATAATTTAGTTGGACAACGTGGTTTACTTCCTAACTCAGAGCAGCAGACATTTGAAATGCTAGTACAGCTTAAATTACGAGAACAGTATGATAAAATAATGCAACCCCTGGTAAGTGCTTAAAATAAACTTGTATATGATATGATATCTTAATTTTTTTTTTACATCTAATTCTAATTTTCTCTTCTTTCATTTTGTTCTCAGACTGCTCCACAAGAACGAGGCCAAAGATCGGGTAAGTGTTAACGTTCTTCGAACTGCAATATTGCTGGTAATCAACATCATATGTAATATTGCGTAGCACACAATTGAGGTCTTTGCGGTTACCATGTCTATATGTTTTTGTTTTGTTTTTATACATTATATATCATTGTTTTTCGTTTGTTTTAGGAGGTCGTGGCAGTGTTGATATGGAGCGTAGTCTTCAAGCCTTTCAAACCATGAATAAATTCCTTTCAGCTTTTCTAGATCATGTAAGTGGTTCATTGTTTGAATAAAATACTATTTCAACTGACCATGTTTATTCTTGATGAAAGTCATCTCAGTTGATGGATGAAGGTCTCAATAATGAAAATATCATATTTTGTTGAAGACCATTGCCACTTTTTAGCTCCGCTGTCGACTTTGTCGAGCGGAGCTTATCATATGAGTGATTGTCCGTCGTCGTCGTCCGTGTCAATGTTTTACTTTTTCGACTTCTTCTTGAAAACTACAAGCCTGAATGCTTTGATACTTGGTGTATATGTACCTTGGGTAGACCTCTCTTAGGTTTGTTCATTTCATGTTGATATCTTCAATTCTCTAATTTTGGTGAATATTTTTGTCATTTTTGGTAAAAGTGATATTTTCGACTTCTTGTTAAAAACCGCAAGTGCAATTACTTTGATATTACATATATAGGTACTACATGTGGTTCTAACTCAGATTTGTTCATTTCATGATGATATCTTCAATTCTCTAATTTTGATGAATATTTTTGTAATTTTTGGTAAAAAGTGATATTTTCAACTTCTTGTCAAAAACCGCAAGTCCAATTGCTTTGATATTACATATATAGGTACTACATGTGGACCTCCCTCAGATTTGTTCATTTTGTAATGATATCTTTCATTTTCTAATTTTGGTGAATATTTTTGTCATTTTTGGTAAAAAGTGATATTTTCGACTTCTTGTTAAAAAACGCAAGTTCGATTGCTTTGATATTACATATATAGGTACTACACGTGGACCTTTCTCAGATTTGTTCATTTTGTGATGATATCTTCAATTCTCTAATTTTGGTGAATATTTTTTCAATTTTTGGTAAAAAGTGATATTTTCGACTTCTTGTTAAAAATCAATAGTTCAATTCTTTGATATTACATATATAGGTACTACATGTGGAACTCTCTCAGATTTGTTCATTTTGTGATGATATCTTCAATTCTCTAATTAATTTATTTTGGTGAATATTTTTGTAATTTTTGGTAAAAAGTGATATTTTCGACTTCTTGTTAAAAACTGTAAGTCCGATTGCTTTGATACTATTCATATTGTTCATTTTCTAATGATGTCTTCAGTTCTTTAATTGAAATGTGCATTGCTAACAGCGGAGCTATCTCAGCCGATAGGCTGCTTGTTTGTCATGGGGTCACTGACATGAGAATTTGGAGGTTGCATATCAGGTCATATGGGCAATTTAATGACCATTCAGTATTATAATGATATTATTACAAAAATACCACAAAGTATGCACAAAGTCAGTACAGTGATTGTATAGACAGACTTGTATCAGAGGTAGCTGCCATGTCTGAGTGTATGTTTTTATTGCTAGATGTATAATAATTATGCATACATACTTTCCATTGATTTTCTATATTGTTTATTTTATTTATTTATGGGTGACAAGAATAATACTATAAACTCTCAAACTTTCACCACTAGAAATGGTCACCAAGGTTACTGCAACTTCTTTTTTTATGACCCCAGTGTTAGCTACACTGCTACAATATTTGAGCATTTTCCCTGACTCTTGGCAATTTGTCTGAAATTGAATTGGTTTACAGTATAAACAATGAAGATTAAATGTTAAACACATGGTCTGCTGAATGTCTCCATGGTAAGCTGAAATGAATGGAAAAAAAATGGCATCAGCAGATGATATGCTAATTTGCTTCTTTTGAAAGATACCCATGAAATTAATTCCTGTCTTTTAATCTTACAGTCCCTTCGTGATTTGGATTACATAGTGAAAGATAAATTATTATTAGAGAGGATTTTAGACATGGAATTTTTTGATCCAGTTGATAAAGGATTCTTTTTTAATGGTAAGTATGTAGGTTTGCTATTTCGAGTTAAAATGACAGATCACAATTCAAATTTCGTTTCTCATTATGTAGTGTTATTTTTTTTTTTTTGTAATAATAAAATAAAAAACAAATTTACACAAAGTTTCCAAATCGGCTAAATAAAGTCTGCATCAAATCATTCTGATTCATCCGTGATAAAATCCAAATGAAATGAGTTCTTGAACAAGCATGTTTATATTGGCAGCATAAATTCCAACCTGGCTTAATTATGATAATTTTTCTGAAAAGTAACTTTTTAAGCATCATAATGTTTTTTATTTCAGTTTTTATTCAGTTAAAAAAAATTATGTAGGTTCTTCAAAGATACTGATTTGTTAGACATTTTTGATATTCATATTCTGGGACCTAAAAATCACTTTTACGGGATACATGATGCTTTTCTCCTAACATCACTTTATACAAATATTTGTGTCGCCAAGACAACAATTTGTTTTCTTCTCAATCTTGTTGATTATGTTTGGGAATCACTACCAAACAGATACACAGGATAATTAATCTCTACAATATTTAGTTAATTTAATGTCTTAAAGATCTTTGGAAAAAGTGAAAATTGCTAATTCTATAAATGTATGTTTCATTTCAGAGATTCTCATTTTTTGTAATTCTATTAATTTTTTGTTTTTAGATGATGGTCATTCATTTGATGGTGCTTTATTCCATGGCCACGAGTCCACATTACTTGTGTATGATGTTTTGTTCTTCTCAGTTATTGATCTTATCTTCCAAAACTACATGTTATCTGCCGTACTTACGTATTTGATGGTTGTGGTAAGTACTAAGTCACAGTAGTAGTAGTCACATACTCCTTAGGTTGAAAATTGGTGTCTCAGAGTAAGAGCTAGAATTCATCAAATTATGGAGTAATATATATATAATTGTTATCATATATCAAATATGCAATCATCTGCTCATATGAGTTCCCAAAGTAAAGGTTCCTATATCTGTTATACTATGTTCTATACTATTCCGCATGTTGTTTGTGATGTCAGAGATTTGACTTGCGCATGTCCATCTCGTCACTGTAGGTACATTTTTATTGCACACTATTTCAAGCTGCCTTTTAAGGGAATTTATAATAGCGCAGTGATGTGGCGTATGTTTACTGCACTGAGGCACATTTTCTGTGGTCGTGAGTTTGAATTTGTGTTTATATGTGCCTTTAATTTATATAGTTCAGTTTTATTTTACCTTATTTGTCTGATCTTTAAATGGGCTGAATTAAAACCCAGTAAATATTCAAAGTTAACAATAAAATGTAGTGTTTCCTTCACAAACAAGTTAATTTAAAACCTAGTGAATATCTCTGCAACATAAAATCCACGAAGCTTAAGACCCCCCCCCCCCCCATCAATATTTTTCTTTATTCAATGTTGAGATGATATATAGATGTATTCCTTGTTTCCGCATAGCTTTCAATACTACAGTTATATATTATATATTTATGCTATAATGGTCTATTCATTTCCCAGATCTATAGTAAAATCCGTGATGCCTGGGGAAGAAGCAACTTGGCTAACAAAACACTTGTGGATGATAGATTTCTTATTTAGATGAAAATAGCACCTCATTAGTGGCTTTCAGCTTTCATTTTTGACAGTACTCAGTCTAATTTCCCTTGATGTTTGGGATTTATGGTCAAATGAATCTTATAATGATCGGTGCCTGAAGAAAGAAACTGTCAAATATCTCATCACATGAATAAGCAGACTCAATTGGTTTATCTGAAAATGGGTGTTTTTTCCTTACTTACGCTTGTTATATCATTGACATTAATGCATATCTATCATTGTTTCAAACATTGGTACAGTGTTTTTCAGCATAACTGTATAAATAATGTGCTAACACATGTAGTAAAAATGTTTCTATATGTTGCATGCACTTTGTAAGGAATCAAAGTAAATAACCTACTTGCAACATAGATAGAAAAAAACACTTTTTGTCAAAAAGTTATTTCCAGTGGGAAAAAAATATTCTACAATTATTTTGTTCACTATAGGAATTGATTACATTCCAGTAAGTTACAATGAAGGTTGTTTCATTATTATTATAAAGATTTATTTTTACTAATGTTGGTAGTAGCCAATTTGTTTATGAAAGAACACAATGGTTATTATTCTTCCAAATTCAGTCTCCCTGTACTTGTAAATATCCAATCATTTTTGAAGCTGTCTCTATTTCAACAGAGATAATTAACTGGTTATTTACTTGCTGTATGTATGTGTTATGTATTGTTGTTTTTTAATTATGTTAGATAATCACAGTATTTATTGAAATGGACCATAAAGTTTTCCGTCCATCTTTTGACAGCATTCCCTCCAGTGTGTGGTCAATTTATATTCTCCATATTTTTTTTTAACTGTTTAGGCTGTTTAGTGGTGATATATCAACAGAATTATGGTACAAAATGTGGTGACAAAACATTTGATTACATTGGATTATATCATTAATATTAAAACGTAGTTACAATTCAGTTTTACACTAATATATTTTAGACTGCACCAGAATTCAAAATTTTAATTTGTATATCATGTAAATAAAATAAAAAAGGGGCAAAATATTTGATTATGTTACACTTTTAAAAACATCATTCACATGATGTAACATGATTCAAAGGGATACAAGAAAACGTTCATATTGTAGTTTTGGTGAAATGACATAACACAAATTTAGAAAACACATTTTTGAGTTTTTTGTTTTTTTTAATTAACCCCTTTTGTGCCTTAAAAATTGTAAGACAGTTACTGTATATACGTGTCATCTGACACCTCAGTTTGTTTTGTTTCACTGGAATGTACTGTAAAAAACTGGTTTATAATTTTATTCTTTTGATTTTTATTCAATTCACAGGCTTTTATCAGATTTTCAGTTAAACAATTAGTTTTATCATAAATTAAACACAAGTTTTTAGCATGATTCATTTTCCCTTAATGGTAATAAGGTTTGTGCACAATGGTAGGCTCATCGCCTTGGTAAATAATTGTACAGAGTCTTGAAAAGTATTGATGTTTTTTTATTACACAGAATATTTTGAAATATACATAAATCAGCTGTAAATATATTTATAACTTAACTGTAAATTGGATGGCTAAAAAATTTAGCAAATGATAATAAAGAATTTTTTTTTTAATTCACAACATGTTATCTTTTTATATTTTACTTCATACATTTGCATATTTCATTTGGGTCATCAGTACAGTAACCATTACTACATTACAATCTCTATTACAATAACCATTACGGTAACCATTACTACATTGAAGTGTGGATAACCACATTACAGCAACCATTACAGTAATCATTACTACATTGAAGTGTGGATAACCACATTACAGCAACCATTATGGTAATCATTACTACATTGAAGTGTGGATAACCACATTACAGTAATTATTAATACATTGAAGTGTGGATAACCACATTACCGCAACCATTACAGTAATCATTACTACATTGAAGTGTGGATAACCACATTACAGTAATCATTACTACATTGAAGTGTGGATAACCACATTACAGTAATCATTACTACATTGAAGTGTGGAAAACCACATTACAGTAATCATTACTACATTGAAGTGTGGATAACCACATTACCGCAATCATTACTACATTGAAGTGTGGATAACCACATTACAGTAATCATTACTACATTGAAGTGTGGATAACCACATTACAGTAATCATTACTACATTGAAATGTGGATAACCACATTACAGTAATCATTACTACATTGAAGTGTGGATAACCACATTACTACATTGAAGTGTGGATAACCACATTACAGTGATCATTACTACATTGAAGTGTGGAAAACCACATTACAGTAATCATTACTACATTGAAGTGTGGATAACCACATTACAGCAACCATTACGGTAATCATTACTACATTGAAGTGTGGATAACCACATTACAGTAATCATTACTACATTGAAGTGTGGATAACCACATTACAGCAACCATTACAGTAATCATTACTACATTGAAGTGTGGATAACCACATTACAGCAACCATTACAGTAATCATTACTACATTGAAGTGTGGATAACTACATTACAGCAAGCATTACTCTAGTGGTATGTTACAGCAACTGTTACTGGTGTTCCATATTACAGTTTGTCACTGGATTGATGATTTTTAACAAATTCTTGGCACTCTGTGTATTGATAACTTTTATATTCATAAAGCTCTGAAGATTGTGTAGAAAATCTTATAATCTCCCCAAGGCTACATTTTAATACATGTTGGATGAGTGTTTATTATATTGTTCCAGTAGTTCAGGATTTATAGAGTATCATATAGCCTCACTGCTTTTGTTTAAAATTTGACGTTATCTGTAAAGTTCAAGAAGCAAAACATTTCTTTTCTGCTTTCTACAATATATTAACTATTGGCAACTTTATATCATATATTGCACACACTTGTATGATAGTACTTTACGTAGATGCAACTGTAGCAGCAAGTGCATTAAGTAGATGCAACTGTAGCAGCAAGTACATTAAGTAGATGCAAGTACATTTCAGCCATTCTGAGAATATCGACAGTCAGCAAGATGACTTGCTACTTTGCAAAATATTATCATATCCATTATAATATTAGAAGATGGTAAAGTGCAGTTTTTTAAAATGAAAAGCGTTAATTAGAATATACAAACAGAATATTTTGATATGTTTTAATATTTCTTGTATTATGAACAATGTAGATAACAAGAAATGAAGAATAATTATTAAATACGTACACCAAGTTTGCAAATCATAATGTTGATCACCCTATGAAATAGTGAATCATATACAGCACGCTATATGACAAGCGAAACGAACAAATCAAACGCCAAAGTGTTTTGCAAAACTGCGAACCATCGTTGTAACTGTTAGAATAATTCTCAGAATGGCTTGAGTAGACGCAACCTTAGTAGCGAGTACATTAAGTAGATGCAACTGTAGAAGCAAGTGTATTGAACAGATGCAGTACATACATCTACATACATACATACATACAGGTATACAAATTCTCCAATACTACTGGTACACTTTTAAGAAAACCATTTTACATGCTTGGATTTTATACTACACTACAAGCTTCACATCATTGACATTTAGGTGACTTTGCTGCATGTAAAATTGAAAAGAGTCCACAGAAATCTGTCCAATTCAAAAATTATTAGCGAATTCGAACAAAAGTAGAAACAAGTAGATTTTCCATAAACGTAAAAGGGAAATAAGTGCGATGAAAATTACATTATTCGTTTACGATATCTCCCTTTAGTACCGGCTTTTTCATTGCTAAACAATCAAGACAGGAGGAAGTAGAAATACACTTCAGATTCTGTCCGTTCTATCGTCAAGCACATTTCATGTACACCCAGTTCACTTTGCTAACATCGTCACAATGGTATACTACGCTTGTGTGGCTGGCGGCGGAGAATCAGACTCTTTGTATATAATCATTAAATCAGTGACTGCAACTCATCACTTCTCATAATGGGCCTGTACTGAGACCGCTATTCTGAAACAAACAAAGAAAAATTATAACCACAATTCCACGAATCCCAATTATACATAATCATTTAAGAATTTTGAATATCTATTATAATGACAAAATCTTATGCGAGCAAACTACACTAGTATGTAAATCAGTGACGCAAATTTGTTTGTTTGAGTGATGCTCAGATACACACTCAACCTTGAAAGATGAGAAGATATTTAATTGAATTCCTATCTGTCAAACAAATTGAAAGTCTTCTGCAAGTGGTCCCATCTGACCCCCTCGGCCATCGTGCTATGGACCCCTGCCAATATACATACATTCTGACTCACAGGTACTCATACTCCTTCATACTCGTTTCTACAACAACCCATTAGTTTCCATGGTAACTTACCGGTTCCCCGTCATATAATGGGTTGCTGAATGATAGTAAACTAGTCTGCAGGTGAAAGCTTCCCTGTTTCCTGAAATTAACCAATAAACAAATAACTCGATCGCAAGCTCACAAAGTTGTATATTTGGACGTTTCTGGGAAAGACTCATGAACTATATGGAATCGACGATGTGATTTTGTGCTGCTAGTTGTCAAACTACAAAGACATTAACATTATATGGATATTTGAGTGTAGATAATGTAGGTCAACTATAACAATATAGGACACAGTGCGTGAACATTCAACACATACGTTGTAATTTATACCAATTCATTCAAATCAATATCACCTGAACATGTGACCCAAATATATGAATACATCGTAAAATAAAGAAAATAACATATCATAACCAATCGATATCAAAATCAATAATTTGGTATTTTTCATTTTTTTTAAATATACGACACAATTGACAAACACATTACATGACTTGTTCAAATCAAAACATTTTACGGTCATCAAGAAATACGAAACAACTAATTCTATACTAGTATATCCTATTACTTGAAATGCCACCAATCTTATATTATTATGTGTGAAATGTGACCATTGTTAATAATGCGTGAAATTTTATCAATATGTTCAATCTTCTATATTTATGCACGATACCTACTTGGTTCTATAGAAGTAAACACCGGCTATTATGCAAGCCACAACGACGAGAGGGACGAGTACGCCAAGAACTATGTACATGCTAACCGGCAGGTCATGTCTGTGGGAGGCCGGTACTGGCGTAGCGTTCAATCCATCGGAGACTTTCTGACTTCCTAAATCTGAAACAGACAAACAATCCAACCTAAGTATACTAGTTTGTTCCGTTCAGTGCATTTTGTGTTGTACAAAATTCCTTAGTTTGAAAGCCGCGATTTAAAGTCAAAATCAGAACACATGCAATGATCTAAATTATAATCATTAATTAATTATTCATCTGGTTTCTCAATATCCTATTATATTTTAAAATGTAACAACAATAAGAATCGTGCAAGTAAAAGACCACGTTTAGTAGATATTATTGTTAAGTCAAAGAAAAGAAAATCCCCGAGCTCGTTCGCCATTAATATTTAATCGCATGAAATAATATCAAATTAAGTATTAACGAGTCATGGTCACTCAGCATTGAGTGACCGCCGATATTGAATCAAACGTTATTTAGTGTGTTTTGCGAGAAATGGTACACCTTTTGACTGGCACAACAAGGAAATTTGTATTTGTCGATTCCGTTCAGTTATATTATTTACATATAACAGTTTTATAGTTTCAGAAATAAGATAATCTCAACTGGATATTTGGCCCGTTTCATTGTAACACACGACTGAATTTATGATGAAATACTATGCATATACGCGTTTTGCGTTTACTAGAATGATAAGCAGTTGTCATATACCTTTGTGCATATTTGTACATTTAGCATGATATTTACAGTTAAAAACAAATAAAGGTGTCGAACACATTACATGAAAAATAATATAACTGACAAAATAACAAATGTATAATCATTGGAAATGGTGTTTTGTTGTTGTTCAGTCTCCAATATCGATTGCGAAAGAAAGATTTATTTTATAGAAGATTTTTAAATGAACAGTCTGATAAAGTGGCCCATTACGTATTTGAGGTACTTGAACTATGATACATTTGAAATATCGTATGATACTAATTTCCGAAATAAAAGATATATAACATTATGAGATATGACCATTCGAAAACGTTGAATAATGTATAAATAAAACGAGAGTAGGTTGCATCGATAAATTACATTGAATATGTTATTGCTTTGGAGATTTTCAGAATACTCAATAGCACTTGACATCAAGCATGCGTAGAATGATAATTATTCTGCTTGTCATACACAACGCCGTCTTCTGATTAACCCGGCGTCAAATTGGATCATAATATCGCCAAGAGCGCTATTGATGTGATTATACGTGAAAAGATTGTTATTTACATACCGAGTTGCATATGGAAATTGCCAAATCCATGTCCTGTCATGTGACCAGAATATAAATACATAGGATATGTGACCACGCTTATTACACCAATCATTGACCACGTATCTTTGTCAAACCTTGGCATATCATATCTGGATAAAATGATATCATCTACACTGAATATTAACGTATGCGATGTTGATGAATATTCTCCTGAAAAATAAACACATACATCGAAAATAAGATGACAGTGTATGTTATTATTTTTTTCCGCCAAAACGTAACTTTCTTGGTCTGGATTCAGTTGGATTTTGACACTTCCGTCGCGCGAAGTTTATTCCCACATATTTCACGTGTGTTTCTTCTGAAACTATTCTGCTAATCGTTGCAGTTCAATTGTAAATTGAGAAAATGCTATTTGCTTATACAAACGAAATTGTTATAAATAGAAAAAAACAAGTCACTGTCAAGGTCGAGGTAGTTCATGGATCCCTGGAGAAATACTGTAACGACAAATGCTAAATTGCATTATATGAAATGTGATATTTCGATTCAGAACTGCAAAGATTATTTTATGCTTTTCTCATGCATTATTAAATCACCTGGGCACATTGAAGTCGACACCACTGTGACTATGGCGACCGCGTTCAGTCATTGAACTCAATAGTAGTACATTGTAACAGGAATAACTTACCAGACATAGAAATGATCGCCTTCCCGTCATTTATTCTGGCCGTCAGTATCTGGTTGTTGTGGTTAGAGATAAAGCCCATATGGAATGGAACTTCCTGGTTATCGTATATATAAACTCCTGTCCATCCTGAGCCTGGTACAAAAATGTGTTGTACATCAACTGAAAGGCAACGACAGTTTGTCAATTAGCGACAAATTTATTTATGTGTCAGGTGTTTAGTTGTGACGGTGAACTGTGCCATTCTTCAACTTCCAAATTGAAAAGTATAGCGCGAAACGTAAACAGGGACCGTCAATGACTGAACAAATAGGACAGAATTTTCTTAAATAATCATCGTTTCAGTCGTATACTGGAAATAAAACTTCCGAGATAACAATACTCAGTACTCTATGGAGTGTTATTTGTTTTATTGACTGCGTGATAATAAACATTTCTACTTGTTTTGAATATCTGAAAATGCACCCCCCCCAAGACAAGGCTTGGTTCATCCCAGATGTTAGTGTTAGGCTGCTTAAAGGGGAAACTGCCAAACCCAGGGATTGCACGAAGGAATCATGAGACACTATTGATTATGTTGTTTACAATGTTAATCTATCTTTTGTTATCAATAGTAATTTTAATTCAGAATGCAAATT